TTTCCTAATTTAGTCAGATTTTTGTCTTAGTTTTGTGCATAAAAAAAAAAAATCACTCAACCAGTCCTTTAGACACATTAGGTTTTAAATACATTGCATGTCTGTTTGACGAGGATCTTTTTAAAGCATGATCTGCACTTTTTCACAGAGAATTAAATATTTATTGGGAGAACATTCTGAGTTGACAGGATATGAGTTTTTTTGGGGGGGCTGTGTAATATGAGTGACATGGAGATTATTTTGTTTATTTTTACATTACATGAAGAACTATTAAAATTATTTTCAGATTACACAAATAGATTAATTAATTCCGCTTTGGGAAAAAAGCGATAATGTTAGGGTCAAGATTAGGATTCACTCAGTGATAACAATCTACTGAGTCAATTGGCACAATCTGAAGCCATTCTATGGGACTGATGACCGCTAATAACGACAATTTATTGGGATGATAACATCCGAAGTGGCTGGAAACAGCCACTTAGAATTTACTGTGTAAAAGACAATCAAACTGAACAGGAACCCCATGAGATGATGACCAGGTTCCATCTGTTGGAATCTTTTTATTCTCCATCATCACCTGCTACCAGTTGATTTCAGCTAAATAGATACATTGATTCACTATCATTCAAGAAATAAACCCATAATATTATCGAGGTCACATCAGGCTATGGCAAGCTAATTTGATATGTACTAGTTCTACTAAATATATATTCCTAATATCTGATAAAAAATAAAAAATAAAAAATTTCCTGGTCAAAATGACCATTTCAAACTAAATGTCATTCTTCACATTTAGAATAAACATTCCGGATGTCTAGAAATGAATTAGATCTCCATTTTCCTATTTTTACTTGTCTTCATTTGTATTATTTTGACAATGATGAAATGAATTTCAGATATCAGATATTTTTTCTTTCTGAAATTATGTTTCCGCTGAAAAAATATAATTTAGAAAACAGTTCCGTTTAGGAATGTGATTTTGATCAGGAAGAATCCTATTTCAGTTTTCTACAAATGGAAAACCTATAGGAGGAGAGTGCTTTTAATAAATCTAAAACGGCCTGCCATACAGGACTACGCATTATACAATAACTCAAGAAACAATCTTCTCCTTTATCATCTTCCTCTCCTTTGTAGCCGTAGTGCTGTTTTTCTGTCTTTTTAAACACATTCTCCATTTTTTTTATTTCTTCATTAAAATCTCTGGTTCCATACTTGCTTTGCACATGCTCAACTCTGAGTGGACCTACTTAGAGTTGATTGAACTAATTCATAGGAGCCGCTGTGAGACTGAAAACTCAGAGTTCCCGACCTTAAGCTAGATCAATTTAGAGTTGCGAATTTCAATCTGAGTTTGTTAATCCTCTTCCGTGAAACGAACTTCTGATGTTTTAAGACAGATTTTTGTAAATATGCAGAGCTGGTATAGATATACCCTAAAGGCTTACAAGCTGTGTTTCCATTCAAATGTGCCACAAATTTTTTACCAAAATTTTAGAAAGTCCAAAAAACTAAATGCGAATTAAAACTCTCCATTCATTGTACCGAATTATCCAGGCTGTGCAAAGCGTAATAATTGTGCTTCTATTACAAATTTGCACAAAAAAAACTGTAGATGTACTGTTCATTTCGAAAATGATCATTTTCACGATTACATTTTCTTTGAATAACAAATCCAATTAAAATTGTTGGTTAATACATTTGTTTATGAGATTGGTTTCAAAGTTTCAGCAGCGGATGTAAGCACATAAGACAAATTCATATTTCAGCCACACTGAGTGCTCATTGCGATCTAGATATAAAAAATATTCTGCAGATCATGCGATTCATAATGTTGTAAAGATTCAGATCCAACCGAATAGCCATCCACCCACTTTTTTCTTTTTTTTTTTCTTTTGTTTCCATTTATCAAATTTATTTTCGGAATTACAAATTGCGAAGTTTGATAGTTAATGGAAACACAACCACAGTCATAAATTATTCTGTAGTAAACAGGAAGCAGAATTAGAAAGCTAGCACCTTACTCAGATCAGTGGCAGTCAAAGATTTTGATAGATGTCTTGTAACAGTGCAAGGTTTTGTTATTTTTTAGTGTTAGCAATAGCTCATCCCTTCTGGAGACATCCAGAGTCAGATGTGATTTTTAATGCTGCATTAAAAACAACTTACCATACCAACTTAGCAGTCATGGGAGTTCCCTATCTCCTCTCAAGCACATTTATACTTCTTTGAAGAAGTCAAAAAACCACCTCAAGTAAGCATAAAACCTTTTTAACTGAAATTTATTAAGTCTATTCTAATTTTCCGGTTTTCATCAAACTCTACTAAGGTCATACTTTAAAATGCCCCCAAAATAAAACGATAAAAATCACCCTTGAACTTTTTTTTACTTGAAATATTTTCTATGGCTTTTTAATTATTGAATAATGCTTAGAGAGTTTCTACTTATCGGGTAAATTACCATTCTCATTTTTAGATACACTAGGACATGAAAGAGTAAAGGTCAAATTAGCTGAATTCTCTTTCTTCGTATATTTTTAGGACATGGAAATTGTGTACGAAATTTAGAACATCTGGGAGCATTGCTTTTATTCCATCTGGTGTCTTTCTAATGTTTAATGTGTTTTTTTAATCAGATCCAACTTCTCTAACAGAGATTTTAATTGAAACACAAACACAAACTGGAGTAAGGCTTGTAAAGAGTTGAAAGATGGACTATGTTTGAATAAACTGTGTTTGGTGGCTGGTGTTGCTCAAGAGGAATTAATTTCCAAATGCCACTTTAAAAGGTCACCTCAGCAGAGACCCAAAATATGCTGTCTGGGCAGATTTGAATTGACAAGGCTTTAGCTAAATAGCAAGAGAAAAACATCCGTCCTTAGAAGAACTGTTGGAAAGAAACACACACTGCCATGTTTTGTGTTTTTCTGTGCATGTTTGTTTCTGTAACCTTTTCTAGAATAGCAATGATGGCAAAAGCTTGGCATTTCACTGTTGGCTGAAATCAATATGAAGGTGTTATACACCTTCCACAGAGAGGGTTACCCTCAAGTCATTTACAAGAAGATGGTCCAAGTAGTCAATGTGGGTCATTTTCATCCCCAAGAATGGTTTTACACTTTGCTTTACAGATCAATTCAGTTGTGCTTCTCTGTGGGAGTTAGATCACACAACAAGCCTGAGGGTCTGTCTTCTTTAAAAAAAGAAAATAAATAGGTCTGCTAAAATATGTTTGATTTTCAAGAGTAATTATTTTTGGTTAGCTAGGATTTAACAACACAGAGAATCTGTGTTGTTAAATCCTAATATAGATTTTACTATATTAGCGATATTTAGTAGCAAACAGAGATAAATATCAAAATATTATAATACATGATGCACAGTTGTGCTTCAGATACCCTTCCATTAAAGACAGAATAAAATCAGCTGCCAGTAAAATACAGGTTGATTGTCTGTGTGTGGTGGGGATTTTTTTTATTTTATTTATTGCAACAGTGTAAGGAGAATCTTTCAAAGAAAATGCCTCTTTGTGGAGACTTGCAGGTACATACATGAGGAAATGTTCTCTTGTTGGGGTTACATCTGGGATTAAAATGTGAATAATGTTAGGTGTAGGGTAAGGTATGTGTTGATAATGGTTAGGTTAAGGGTTTGGTAATAGAAATGAATGGGAAATAAATGGAAGATAATGTGATCAGATATTTGTTACCTTGTAGGGACAGCGTAATGCAACTTTTTCAGGAATATGCTACATATGCTACGACTGGTACCTAAGGGGTGCTGATCCAGAAGTCTTTGGATGTGCATCTGTCTCTGAGCCTGTCGGGGTAAGATATAAATATGCAGATGTTTTAAGCTTTGTTTCAATTTTCTGTCTTACTGTATTTTCATATCTATTTTGTAACCTCTCAGGGGAATGCAAATTTGAATTGGCATAAGCTATCATCTGGTTGCATGCATCAAATAACTGTTATGTTTAAAATTTAAATTCTCCCTTTTTAAATAAAGTCTAGAATAACTAATAATTTTTTTTTCCACATTAAACATAAACAATGTCCATGTCAACACTGACAATGGTGCAATGTAATTCAAAGCAAAAGTAGACAGAAGAATATTCTGTAGACCTGTTGAGGTCGGTCAGAGTCAAGCAGGGATAATCTGGCACTACTGTTAAAAATCCACAAGATAATTAACTGAATGAGGGAGTTGCTGTTAATAATGGAGATTCATTGTCAGCCAAACTAATAAATCTGAGTGAGCTACAAGCTAAGCCTTTTCTAATTAAAATGAATATTTTAGCCTAGTTTATTATAGTTTATTTATTGTAATATTATTGCCAAGAGGCAAAGCAACATAATTTAAGAGAAGAATAATGATATTATTTAAAGAAATTGAGTTATTGATGAATCTTGTTAAAACAGTTTTTTATCTGTGCAACAAACTTACAAAAAAACAAACAAACAAAAAAAACAGGAACTGTTGGTTCTTTTAAATTAGGACAAAAAAATTGCCCCTTGAGCAAGAACATTTATTTATTCATTTCCTTCAATGTACATTATTATGTACATAGATTTTTTTTTTTTTTTTGGCTGTGTTTTTTATTTTCCTGTTAAGCACCTTCAGGTAATTTGTGCATAAATGGTGCTTCAACAATAAACCTGTCTTGCCTTGACAAAAAAAATACAATTTAATAAGTCATTAAAATCACCTTTAGCAAAGCAAATATCCCAGAACTGTCACATATGTTAGTGTTGTACTTTGCTGCATTGTCACACTTATACATTTATTTACTAAATACATGATTTAAATTATTTGTGCATATTACTCCTGAACCAAACGGAAGTAAAAATGACCAGAATAAAGAAACTATACGTTAAGATTATTTTGAAATATACTTTTACATGTTGGTCATCTTTGGTAAAAAAAAACCCAAAAAAAAACAGAATAGATGGCAGCCATGTCCAGACATGTAGTCCCTATATATATATATATATATATATATATATATATATATATATATATATATATATATATATAGTCAGATATGTTTCTGGATTTTTTTTAATTTCACATCAGCTGAAAGGGTTTAATAACAACAAAAGCAAAACTGACAAATACTTTAGAAGATTTTCACACAACAGAAGCAAACCAAACAATGACTTCATTTTTTTTTAACAATATACAATAGGTCCAAAACAGTTCACCAAGTTTTATATAATAATAAATACTATAACTATGTGTCAGATGCAAAACAGATGCACAACACTCTTATTTTATTTGTTAATAACGGAAAACCTTTGCTTCTCTTTACAATCGATCGTTAAAATCTGAATCACAAACTACAATCAGATTCTAAAGGTTTTTAAACCATGTCCTGACACATTTGAAAATATAAATAACATGAGCTGGTCAACAAAGATTGTCCTTAAAGTGATGGATATTCTTGTGTTTTTGGGACAAGTTAACTCTGAGTGGCCTGGAGATCTATAGATGAAACAGGTTTTAAATGTCGAATATTTACAACCAATCTCACATAAGGAAGGAACTAAAAATACATGTTAAACTATTTAAACAATCACTACAGCAGATAAACATGCAAAACAAAAGTACTCTTGCTTTAATGTCACTATGTAAGCAATAAAAGCAAGTTAAGATAATTTAAATTTCTCAAATTGTGCTGTTGCGTTTTAATTTTATTATTAAAGTGTAATAATACCCAAAACAATATTCACACCTGCTTTACATCATGATAACGCTTCTTTTCTACTAAATTGATTGTTTAGGAAATAGTCCAATTGACTCAAAGGTAGCAGTCCTTGTAAAGCACACTGCTGCGTTTGGGTGACACGGGACAGCCTCAGACGGAGGTTACATTTGTGGTTGCACTGTTTTGGCTGTACAGGCGTCTGGGAGAGCTGCAGCACACCAGCTGATTCCTGAAGTGCTTGCTGAAACTCTTGCTCATCAGGTACAGAGCGAATGGGTTTATGCAGGAGTTGGTGAATGCCAAGATGCGTGCGCACACACTGGCAATGAAGTGAGCCAGAGAGGTGTCCACCTGGTCATAGTGGTAGGAGCGGTAAAGGTAGATGACATGACTTGGGAGCCAGCAGAGAGCAAACAAGCCGACAAACACCAGCACGGTTTTGGCCAAACGCTTCCTGGACTTGATCTGAAAGGAGAAGAGGAGAGAGAAATCACATCAAACTGTCTTCAATAGTTGTCTTACTATTTTAGCTTTAATTGTTTGTAATGAAATGTGTGGCTACCACCCTGAGCCTGAACTAACACTGCTCAAAATTGGTGCAATTTATTTTAATTGTTCCAATCAAATCCATTTCAGAGAACATTATTCCTCTGAAAATCAAGCAGAGTAAGTAAGCAAATAAAGCGTACTACTCTGGTTTAAAAAATTGAACGAGTTTGGGTACCTATGCACATCATGGAAGATATGCATTGAAATCTTATTCCTAATTCATCAAGTAATGCTATAAATATATAAGAATTTAGGTTAAAATGGGTGATAAAGGCCTTTATGAAGATACATATTTCTATCTTCTAGTTTCTGCCAGTAAGGCCAACTAAGCAAAAAAATAGCTGTTGAATCTACATGAAATCAGTTATTCAAGGAAACAAACAGAACATAACCCTGAACTGATCATTTCTATCATGAAATGTGGGGAAAGCTTTCCTGAGCAGAAGCAGATGTGAATGGCAGAGCTGAATGGAGGATGGATGGTTAAATTCAAAGATATTATGGAAATAAACCTGATAGAGGTTTACTTCCAGCCAAACCACTGCTCATCAAGAGCTCAGCTGTAGTGGTGGTCAGAAGCACCAAATTCCTGCAGGTGCACATAACAGACACCCTCACCTGGACTGTAAACACCACCTCATTGGTCAAAAGGGCACAAATGTGCATGTACTTCCTGTGGAGGATGAGGAGAGCCCACCTGCACCCACCCACCCTCACCACCTTCTACAGAAACACAATATAGAGCGTTCTGACAAGCTGTCTCACTGTGTGGTGTGGAGGCTGCAACAACACACATTAAAGACAGACACGGCAAACAAGATCATCAGGGCTCTTCTCCCCTCCATAAAAGACATTTCATCCCCTGTTCGTCCCAAGCCTGTAACATTATAAATGACCCCTGACACCCCCACCATGGACTGTTCTCCCTGCTGAATGTTCAATAAAACGGGGAAAAAAGCGCTGAACATTGGAAAAACTGTAAATCGTAACTCAGTGTTATGTTTACATTTGATCACTGTTGCGCTTTAAGAAACGGAAATGTCTTGAGAGCTGTACTGAAAAAAGTTTGTCTAAAATTCTACAAAAGACTTCGGATTGGGGCAATTAACCATATATATATATATATATATATATATATATATATATATATATATATATATATATATATATTGTTATCAAGAGTTTTTGTAACATTTCCTAGAAACCAAAAAAAATAAAAAATTAACAAAGGCCTTTTTGTAGTTAACGTTTTTGAAACATGGTAAAATATCCACGGAACTTTTAAATAGAGAAAAATGACCTTCTGTTTTAACATTCGGGTCTGTTTCTCTTAGCCACTCTTTAGAATGGGTGAGACAAAAGAAGCAGAGGGATAGATACATTTATAGGGAACCACTGAATATTTAGGCCTCAACACTCCTCTGTCTTTCACCTCTGATATACATTCTATTACAAAAAAAGAACATATATTTTGTAGCATCTTTAGCATTTAAATATTTTGATTTTCTCACTGAGAAAACAGATTGCAATTATTACTTCCTATTTTTAATCGTTGTGATATAAATGATCAAAATACCACATCTACGTATCTCAAATTATTTAATGTTTTATAGAACTGGTTTCGAGGTTTATTCTTATTTGTCATTTGTCCTAGCTTGCTCCATACTCTAGACAACAATTTCACTGCTTATAATTAATCTCAGTTATCCTGATCATTAAAACAGCACCTGATGCAATTTAGCGCCTCATAAAGTATTGGACATGCAATTCAAAGTTGAAAAACGAGTAAGGAAATAGGAAAATATTAATTTAAACATAAAGCACCTTTTGATAGGAACAGTCCTCCATCTGCTTTCAGTTCGATAACTTCTGTTTATGCATTTAAGAAGGCCTTTTGCTAAATATCGTATTTATGTGTGTGTGCGTGTGTACCTGTCTAACCCTCAGAGTGAGGACCATTTTTCCAATTTCACCATCAAACTGAGGACCAGTTGTTGCAAAGTGAGGACATTTTATCCGGTCCTTGCATGCTATTTTACTAATGGTAAGGTTTAGGGCCAAGGTGTCAATTGGGTTAGGGTTACAGTGAGGTATGCATTGGCAATGGTTAGGTTTAGGGTTAGTTTTAGGGTTAGGACATAGAAAGGGTTGAAAATGACTGAAAATCAATGGAAGTCAAGGGGAGTGAACACAGGGTCCTCACCACGATGGTAGAACGAGTATGTGTTTGTGTGTGTATATAATTGTAATTTTGTGTTAATGTCTAATAGAGTCTGTATATGAGCACTTTGTGTTTTGATGTAACGTGTGATTGGTTGTGTGTGGGGCGATTAGTTTAGGTATGCGTTTTCTTATATTTTTTATACAGCAGGATTTGTTTTGTTTATGTGTTTTATCATTTTTTTGTCTTTTTATTGAACATTTCATCTCAAGGTGCTCATCACTTCAAATCTAAATACTGTGATTAAAATAAACCTCAGTGCAAAGGATTTTAGTACCCTAAGTCAATTTAGTTAATTAAAAATGATCTGGTGATAAAGATTGAACACCTGCCTTTATTCATTTTTTATTTTGCTTCGTCTGGGCAAGAAACCAATAAGCCTGCTGTGATTATTGTGCCATTCTAGGTATTTTCTTATTTGGTAAATAAACTGAACCATTCAATAAAACATCCCCACCATGTTCTGATCCATACCTGTTTCTGCAGATGCAGATGTCCCTCAGCAGGGATTTCAGCTGAGCTCCTGATCAGACTGTTAGCGATGAAGAAGTAGTAAACAGAAATGATGAGTAGGGGGATGATGTAGAAGATGAGGAAGGAGGCAGTGGAGTGGATCTTTGGATGCAACTCTCCAGCGTGGGGGTAGGGAGCGCATGTTACAAACGTCTCGTTCGTGTCGCTGGTGGTGAAGGAGTGCAGGTCGGAGAAGATGGCCTCGGGAATGGCCAGAGTGACGGACAGCAGCCAGATCATAGCCACACGGAGACTGATGCTCAGTGTGGCCTTGGATCTGTTGATGTCCAGGGGTTTGACAATTGCTTTGTACCTGAGAAAAGAAGAAAACATCTTTACAGTAAAGATGTTATGATAACTAAGGTAAGGTTCATATATCAGCCGCTTGGTTTTATCCTAAATCCTAAAGATGAATTATTTACCTTTTCAATTATCAAGATAGAGATTTGTAAGATGAAAGAAGCAAGAAGATATCTGAACATCATTTAGGATAAAGATTTATTTGTAAGTAGTTGAAAATTGACCCTTCACCTGAACATAAGGATCTATCATTGATATCAGCAATAATGTTAAATGGCCTCATGAAAATACAGAGATGATCATTCAAGTAAAAGAAAAATACAAAACATGCCCCGTTCGAATACTTAGATTATTCAAAGGTAGGAAAAAGTCTTCCAAGTGTCAGAAGAACTACTAATACCTGTCAGCTCTTAGTGCCAGAACCGCCACAATAAAACATTTGCGGTTGAAGCGTTGCACAACTTGGGATTCATTCTGCACTAATAGGTGGTTTTGCCTCAAACAGCAGTTCTGTATGCCAAAGCTCCTTGAGACAGCCTCACGTCTCACCGTGGATGAATAAGTTAATCGCTTTGGATCACTTACAGATGAACCCGTAAAGGAATGGATGCTGCGATGAGAACGTGTCTGAGGTGTATGGAGAAACAACAAAACAAAAATCTACAGACTTGATTGGATAACATTTATTCTGTTAAATGCCTTCAAGACCACTTTCAGCTGGATCTGTATTAATAAAATGATTGAAAATGGACTGAATTTAAAAATTGCAGTAAGTTTAACAGAGAATAGTACTTCAGCTTAGTTAGAGCTTGCCCTTTTGAAAGACATTTGGTTTTAGTTGTATCTTACCTAATATCTATTTTATTTGACTAAAACATTGTCTTTTACCAAAGATATTTACTAATTGATCTGCATAACCTTTTGTTCTCTGTAGCCAGTGGTGAGTATTTTTATAGTTCCTTGGTATTTCTGATTGCCTGATACTGACCTGTTCTGCCTCTCAACAACTAAGCCTTCCTGTTTTCTTCTGAGCGGTTTGCCTGAACCGTCTTTGAACTCCTGGACCTCTGAGCCTGCACGTTCCTGTTCTGATCTTTTTGCCTGACCTGGCTTTGGACTCCTGGACCTGCAGCATCAGGGACACTCATAGTGTCTTGTTGTTGGCAGCCCAACGGCTGGATCCTACCTTGTTCTCTGGGCACAGACTGAACTTGGTTAGTGACTCACGTTCATAATCATCCTCTGTCAGATTATCGTGGTCAAAACCTGTGTTTCTCTCATGCAGAGTTTTCAGCCTTAGACAGTTTAGCAACTGCAGATCTGCAGCCATTTTATTATTAATGCTTTTGGTATATTCCCACTGTCTGTCTTGCCTTAAATACTAGGTCCTCTGTTCTGAGTTGTGACACAGTTATTGTTAAAGTGGAGTTCTGATCCCTTTGTTGTAGGTAAAATGTTTGTCCAAACTCCAAAATAAGTCACCTTAGTCTGCCTTTATGTCTATGTCAGTTTTACTCAGTTCATCTTTTATCCTGTTATTTTTAGTTGACCTCTTAATGGACTTATTGATTTTATTTTGAACTTTTGTCATTTTTGGGGGAGTGGAAATAAAACCCAGTAAGGTAGTTCTGGTAGGTAGAATCAGCATTCAGCTTTTCACAGTCTATACCTGCAGCCCTCACAACTTCATGTGTTCTTTAGATTAGCTTAATAAAATGGCCTTTAATGTTGCACCTGCATCCAAGCCTTGCATCTCTGAACACAAAGCAAAGCATCTGATTCAGCAGTGTAAAGTACTATGAGGTCAAATCTGAGATGTTGTTGTAAACTACAGTTTAAATGGGTCTTTAACAGAGCCAGAGGTGAACTCCTGAACTCAACTATAACAACCCAAATTCAGCATGAACCTATTATTTCTCTACCAAGCGTAAAGGGAGCAGATTATAGGGTGTAGAACCTAACATTTAAGCAGACAACAGTGCAGAGAAAATCAAAGCAAGCTTTGAATCAAAGCAGCAGTAGGCCATCTAAACTACATGTGGAGATCATCAGATAAACACGAATGCGCTTAAATATCCAGTCCAAACACATCTACCCAGCTCTGTTTGATATCTGAGCTGTTTTCTTCTCAAAAGCAATAAATGTCAAAAAATAAATCTGAAAACACTAAAAGCTCCTGACACATCATTGACATTTATCTCCATTAAAAGCTTTATCTGTACTGCCTTTGTCTACTATAGCAGAGCCATTTGTTAATTACATATCTAAGCTCCAACAATCCATCTCTGCACTTGATACTTCAAAGTTTCAGCAAACATTATTTTTTCATACTTTTATTTTATATAAACGAGCACACAATGTTTTTCTCCCTCTTTGTCAATGATTGCTGTATTTTTGAATCAAAGAATCCAAACCTAAACTTTCTGAAGGGAAAATAAAAGTGTGTTTTTTTTTTTTGTAACTTCAGATTTTAGTGTTGATTAAAACTACCTTGACAGTCACTTTTTGAAGGGGATTAGTATTGCAACATCGGTTTAAAATTGCATCGGTCAAGGGAAATTGCATGTATTTTTTGCTCTGAATGAAATCTTTTCTCAACATTATTAATTGCTTTGGGGTTTTTTAAATAAAACTTTTATCCCCCCCCCAGAAAAAATCCTAAAATTCCCCCCCCCCCCCCCCCCCAAAATTCCAGACTGGTTAGCAGGCTGTTCAGTTTAGAGTTTAGAGTTGGTAAACATCTCTTTTTCAAACGGGCTAAAACAATATCTGTGTTGTTGATATGAGTTATAATCATTACTGGTGCTAACTTGGATTGGGGGGATAGAAACATCTGAAAATAAATAAACAAATAAATAAATAAATAAATAAATAAATAAATAAATAAATAAATAAAACCAAACAAATTAAAAACATGATTTCTTAATGTATCTAAAGAATCTGGGTTAACATTCCCATTTAGCTGAAATGTTTTTTTTTTTTTTTGTCTTTTTCAAATAACCTGGACTGTACTGCTTTCCCACTTCCGTCAGGAGAACAACATATGGACATTAAATCCGATGCAAATAGACTTAAAACTGCTTGTTTTCTAAAGCTGTGAAAGCAATCATCCTCCTGCAGACAAGCACTCATGTCCCACCTCACCTTAATGAACATATTTACATTAAAGCCAAAGGAAAACAGTAAAAGACTGCATAGACAGTTCAAACCTAGATTAGACAACAGATTTTTTTTCAATATCTGGTTTAATTTATGAGCCGATTAAGAAGAAAAAAGCAAAATGCAATCCATTTTATTGTGAAAAACCAAAGTAAAATCTCTCTACATTTATTTTGGATGCGCAGAGGAAACATTCATCCAGGACCTTTACACTCTATAGTAGTCTGGAGGCTGGAGCGCTTATCAAACAGCTGGTTAGTGAACAAAAAAAAAAGAAGAATTTTCCAACTGTGCATTAGACAAAAAGAAATATTACTGAATTAACTACAAGTTTACATAAGTGTTCGTTTTAATCTATGTGGTTATATAGACATTTTACTCAAAGCCTGTCTGTCTGTCTGTCTGTCTGTCTGTCTGTCTGTCTGTCTGTCTGTCTGTCTGTCTGTCAGATTTTTTTAAATGCAGCTTAAAGGAAAAGTCTTGTCATATTCAGAATTCACATTTCTGAAAGTACTTTAAATATGAAATTATTACGTACTGTTCAATAAATGATAAGTGTTTTTAATTAAGAGTAATTTCATTTGAATGTGTTTTACTGGAGACATCCATGTTTGTCAAAGAACACTACTGTCACCTGCCGGTTTGGGACGTCACAGTGCGGTATTAGCTGTTGAGCAAGTCCCAATGCTGTATCTGGTGTTTGTGACAATGCTCTATTATCCAAGTCATCTTAAAAACCTTCTTCGAAATGTTGACTACATATTACCGTACGTGTTTTTTCTCTGGCAAGAAGTTCAATGGCAAATCCTCCCTCTTCAAGTTGGCAATCTAACGACGAACCTGTCCGTGGAGGATCATGAATCGGAAAGGTGAAATAGCTATATATACATTTTTTTTTCACTTTTACCTGAGTTATTACAAAATCCAGCTGCCAAGCACATGGGCATTGTCAGTTAAACAATAGCTATTGCGAATTTCAAGTTGAAGTTCTCTCTAAATCTTAAATAATTGTTGTTGATTGCAGGCGTGTCTAGTAGTTACCTTTGATTTTGCATGTAAAGCGGGGAGAATAGCCTTCGACTTATCGCACCGTGATGTCACAGCCTGAAGATGTAAGGAGTGAAGTGTTACTATATTTGAACAAAAAGGGCAGCTTCCGGACTCAGTGATCATAAAGAACATTATTGTTTTCATTTTTTTGCTGACAAACGCTAAATTCATTAAATCAATGCAAACATATTAGTTTTAGGTATAGATAATGACCTATTGATTGTTCCTTGCCGACCGGACTTTCTCTTTAACAGTTCACTTTATCAATACAAAAGGTTTTATCATTGTTGATTGCCTCTCATGCTATGCAAGTTTTCCACCTGTCACAACATGCTAATTAAAAAAGGCTTGATACAAAGTGAATGACGTTTTTAACAGGGTTTCCTTGGGCAAACAACTTTTTTATTGTTATAATAAACTACATTTTACTGCTTTCTATTTTAAAATAGTTGAGTTTTTAATACCGTTAGATCTTATTAAGATCTTAATATTAGTTTGATCTGATTTTCTTTTTTCTGGATAACATTTTTGGCCTGTTGTCACAAATGATTTCTCCCAGTGCTCCCAGAGCAAATCAATTAACCTCAGCAAAATGTATCAAAAACAGTGAAGGCAATGACAATTAAATGGGTTGAATGAATTATCGTTGGACCGGTTGGAAGCAAGGGAAACACAAAAGACAAGACTGACCCCTTTAATTATGTGAAACTTTGAACAAAACAAAGTTTAATGTGAATATTTTTCTTGTCAAATATGTTATCAAACATTTTTTCTACCGAACAAAATCAAAACTTCACCAGTAGATCTTCTTGAGAATCTTCATCAGCATACTAACCCGTAGAGCTGCAATCAGTGAGGACTGTACAATCTGAGGCAGATTTTCTGCCTTAAACTAGCTTTCGCTGATTTAGATTACTCTACATAGCTGGCCCTTTTTTCTCTAAAATGGTTAAGGGTAGTTCCAGTATTTTAATAATAGTTTTGGGGGGTTCTATATGTTTTAATAAGGTTTCAGTGAAATCATTCTTATCTTAAATAACTTGCTATAGGTTACTTTTGAGTAACTATAGCCACCTACCAGGAACTGCAGATGAAGTCTGTGAAATCTGTCGTGGTTTTGGTTCTGTTAAAGTTTTATCTCTGAGTTTTTAAAGATAAAACCTAAAGAGTTTTCAATGGTTTTATTTCCATTTTGTGTTATTCTAGTTATTTTTTTTTGTATATGAGCTTTTAGGTATTTCTTGTTTGATCATTGTTGCCCTCTTGTGTCAGTCTCCTTTCTCCTAGCTCCCTTCTAGACTTCTCTGTCCACAACTGCTCCCAGTCTGCTGATTAGCCTGGTCCTTGTCACTTTCTCCCATATATACACCTCCTGCTCAGTCACTGTTTGCTTGTTCATTGTCATTTCTTTGCCCTTGTTGTGAGTGTTCCTGGTTTTGTTGATTTTTTAAATCTATGTTTTTAGATTTTTGCTTCCGTTTTCCTTTTTGGTTAATTAAATCTTGCAAGAAAACACCTCAGCTTCAGTCTCTGCATTTGGGTCTTTCAAACCTCCACTAAACCTGACAGAAATCTGCAAACATATTGTGGGGCCAAGGAGGAAGGTTCTGAGGGTAGCTGTCTATTCAATGCTGCTGTTTTATATACACCATAGCATGCATGCATTAAGATGAGGAAGGAACAAACCTTATCAAGTTACGACAAAAAAATCTCTTATAAGCGTTTTCGGATTTTGTAATTTTTTTAAACTCTGGCATCTGTTTATTTTTCATTACCCTGTAAAGCACTTTTATTTTATTACCATATCAAGTTCTTTATACATATTTTTTCAATGCATTTATTTGATGCACTTTTTTTTCTCTGTAATATAGGGAATGTTCAATCAGTATACTGTAACAAGCCAGATTTAATGTTTAACCAACAGCAATTTTTCCACCTGAAGTAGCAATTCTTGTCAATGGTAAATTTCTCTACCAACATTACAGATCAAAAGTCTTCATTTTTTCTCGTATCTGGCTCTGAGATTAAATTATACTATGATTACGTGGCCACAGTGAGCCAATCACTTAAATTGTTTTTAAATTATTTCAGTTACATTTCATGAGACTGAAAAACAAATTCTCACAAATTATTTTTGTATATACTGCTACTTGGAAGCATAAACTGTGACATATAGTTTGAGTAACAAAATAATTGTATTGATCATGATTAACTGATAATTAAAAATGAAATCAACTCATTAGGTTTTTGAACAGTTGCTTAATAGAGTAGGCCTCTTTAGCCTCCAAAAAATAAAGAAAAAAAATAAAAAATCAGAACAATAATTAACCCAAAACTGTTAAAACAAACCAACAAAAAGGCTTTGTCTTTAAATAAGCTCCATACATAACTGTGGCATTTAGTTATTATTATTTTTTTTTACATTTAATCTATCCTTTTTTCTTTTCTTTTTTTTTTAGATATACGTGGTTTTCTCAAAAAGACACTTTTTAT